CTTGGGAGCATCAACAGCTCACACGTCCACAGTGCAAGACAGAACAAGGAGGGAGATGGTCTGCCTGCAACTGGGAGAGCTGCCTGACTGGAGGGGAAGAGTGAGATATGGAGTGGCCGGCCAGAGGAAATGCCAGACCATAACAAGGCCAGAAGAAGCAGGAGGGCAGAGGTCAGCTCAGCATGGGCTTGAGCCGGCTCTACAAAGGGAAATGCAATCAGATGAGACTGGTCTCAACTGGACTGAAGGGAAGTTAGGCCACCAAGTGACCAAGTCCAGCAGAACTGTACTTCTGATGCCTCAACACTGAGGTGAAGGTTAAACCTGCCCTACAAAGTTGACCCTACAAAAAGGTCGGCTTTAAAAGAGAAGAGCCAATCATCTGACATCTGAGTTGTTGGAGGCACCCAGAGAGGTAAGGAGCAAAAGGAGAAGTCAGCAAGTTAAGTGTTGTCAGCTGACACACTCCCTGGCCCCTCAGGTGCCCCTCCCCGCCGCCCAGGTGTCAGGGGCTGCCAAACACAGTGCACTGCACGCTTGTCCTCACTCCCTGCCTCCTCTCGCTCCCCAGGGACAGAGCCTTAGGCCTGCCTTGCCACTTGCCTGTGACTTCATCCTGGTCACGGCCGGTACCCCAACATGAGCAGGGTTTCTGTGTGGCTCTGGCTATGGGACACACTGCTTGCTGGCCACACTGGATAAACAATCTTCCATTAAAACTAAGCATCCAAGGAGCCTCCTGAACAACCAGGACGCTGCTGCCTGAATGGCTCCATGACACACGTTCTAGAATGTACCTCCGTGTAAAGAACTGCCATCATTTCATCCACGGTTGCTGACTCTTCTCCACCTTGTTAAAATTAAGCATACGGAGAAAAACAGAAATGCTGTGGTAATGTAGCACACACTAATTATCACCAATTAGCACACACAAATCACACTAAATTTCAAATGTAAGTTTCATGAAACTTCTTATATGGCAATTTCCCCAAAGGCCCCAGTGGAGCCTTCTCTATAAACTTTGAAGTCAATGCTTAGAGGACAAAGTAGAACCACATTTAACTCAATGGTTATGGCTTGTCTCATTTAGACTGTCTCAGGGTTAAAATTCTCGTGATTTCATTTGTTACCAACAATTTAATGAGTTATTTCACTATATCAATCATGAATAATCAGTAAACAACTATGCCTGCTCATTATCTACTCTAGTTTAATTTGAGTCCTTAAGATAAATGTTCATGTCTACAATAAAGGTTTGATATGATTCTATTGTCTAGAGACCATAAAACAAGCATTCTAAATATCTCTTCCATTGGTAGATTTCAAGGTCACCTACTAGTACTTTGCCAAGGTCTCTCAAAAACAGATTTTGCTTTCCCTTGAAACCATTTAAATATAAGCCTCATGAGGGCAGAGGCTGTCACAGTCTCCAGTCCCTGGGGCTGGGCTTGGCCCTTACTGAACAAAGGAGGACCAGTTTAACGAGGAGCAGTCACACCGTCCATTATGGTCATCATAAATAATGTTCACACACCTCTCTACTTGCAAGGCATATGCACACACTTCCTACAGGCACAAACATCTGTGTTTACAGACTACATACAAGTGTGTAAGCGAAAGCCAGCTGCCCCCGGGGCACACGCAAGACACACACCACGGGGCTGTCCGCAGCTGCGCTGCCGGACTCCCACTCTGCGTGCCCGGCTCGTGTGCATTCGGCCCCCAGCACCGCACGGCACCCACCACAACCTGAAGGAGGGAAACGTTTAACTAACATCAGACTTTAATATCACTCTCTGTCAAGGGGCTCTTCTGTCATCTGAAAATAATACACTGAATTATACAGGATTACCAATAAACATTTAACGGTGTGAGAAACACAATTTAACTCTACAAAGTGAAATTCTTAAAGAAACAGGCAATTTCAGCTGAAAGAAATAAAAGATTTAACTTCAGTAATCTTCATGAACATTAGTGCCTCTACAGGATCCAGAAATATGTTCTCAAAAGGTCATATGCATAAGCATCCACTGTGAAGAATAAAAACAGTTGTTCTGGGTTTCTTGACAAATAAGAATAACCACTCTGTAACAAGAGCAACTGCTGGTGGGCGCGCACAGCCAGACAAACAGGGCTTTGTGCACCTGAGCCTCCCGCTGCAGTGCCACAGGGAGGGCTGGAAATGGGGTGGAAGGTCAAGTCAGCCGGGGCCAGGGTGGCACTGGGACCTCGGATCCCAGGAACTTGGGCCCCAGCCTCCTCTTCTGTCTCACAGGGCTGAGGTCATGGGCGAAGACTCAACCCCTCCGAGTGTCAGTTTCTTCCCCATGATTGAGAGGACTGGTCTAATTTTGGTGATTCTACAAAACAATTCAAACAAAAGGTATACATTTATGAATACTGTATGGGAAATACTAATCCTGTTCTTTTAAGAAATAATTAAGGTGGCCCACTAAATATATTGTTCATCATGAAGCATCCCTAGAAAATATAAACGTTAAATAAGTTATTAAAATAACTACCGTTATTAAGAAAGTGAAAATCAAAACTACAATGAAATACTACATCACTCCCATTGGAATGGGTTCTACCAGAAAAACAAGGGAACAGAAAACGAGAGTTGGCGAGGAATCAGAACCCTCGTGCACTGCCGGTGGGGATGCGAACTGGCACGGCCACCATGGAAAACAGTACGTGGCTCCTCAAAACATTAACAGCATCCCACTTCTGTACACACTCAAAAGAACGCAAAGGGGGGCCTCTAAAAGTTATCTGTACACCACAGCTAAAACATGGAAGCACCCCGAGTGTCCACCGACAGACGAATGGATAAACAAAATGCGGTCTACCCATACAATGGAACACTATTTAGTCTTAAAAAGGAAGGGCATCTGACGTATACCACAATATGGCTGAAACTTCGAGGACATCACACTGAGCAGAATAAGCCAGTCACCGAAAGACAAGTATTGTGCGACTGCACTCCGAGGAGGTACCCAGAGCAGAATGGGGCTGCCAGGGGCTGGGCGGGCTGGGGGAACGGAGCGTCAGTGCCCAGTGGCTGTGGAGTCTGGGTCTGGGAAGCTAAAAGAGTGCTGTGGAGGGACGGTGCTAATGGCTGCACAACAATGTCAATGTACTTAGTACCAGTGAACTGTGCACTTAAAAACAGTTAAGAGTAAATTTCATGTGCATTTTACAAGTTTAAAAATCAGAGAAAAAAAAACTTGCAATCACATACACATTACATGCCTTCTGACCACCTAATAGAAATACTTATCCCTTAGGAAGGAATCTAGCCAAAAAATAGAGACGCAAATCAGATCTTCAGATTCAGAAATTGATTCAAAGGGGGAGAGAGGGAAAGGAGGAACTGGTCAATTAAGAAACTTAAAAGACTAAAAGACCCACGGTATAGGGATCTTACTTGGATTCTGATTCCAACTTTTATATTTGAATACAAATTTATCATATTTATGGAAAATTTGAATAATGACTAGAGAGCTGATATTAACAAATTTTTGTCTTGTGGGAGAAAATATGATTATGGTATTGTAGATGTGTTTTTTAAAAAGTCCATATCTTTTAGAGATACTACAATATTTTCGGATGAAATAAGGTCTGGGGTTTGTTTCAAAATTAAGTTGGGGCAGGAAAATGAGAAAATACAGCTAAAACAAGATTAGCTATAGGCAAGTAATTATTGAAGCTGATAACAGATACAAAAGGATTCATTATACTCTTCTGTTTGGGTATATATTTGTCAGGAGCCACATTTTATAGATACACTGAACCATAAAAGGTCTTTATCCTTTCTGAACTTTAAACTTCAGGTTTGGCATTTCCGAACACATACTGAGCACTTATAAATTATAAGAATATCAGCACAACAATTGCCCCTACGCCAACCCTGCTAATGAAAACAATATAAGGGGTATACCTGGGTTGCAAATTAGACCAAGATGTCCCCAATGCAAATCAGGTCAACAGACTTACTCAAAAAGAGGAACATCCCCCAACCTCTTTACAGGCAATGCAAAAGGAAAGGGGCTGGTGATTCGTGAGCCAGCCCTGCAGAAAGCCTTCCCTGAGCACCTCCTGCGCCTGTCTTAGGAGCTGGCGTTGAGAGGGTCACATTTCACAGGCAGCTGTTCTCTGTCAAGTTGAAGGGCCATCACAGGCTGGAATGGCAGGCAAATAATTCCATGGATGGCCTGGTGTAATTTGTAAAGTGAACTGAACAGAATAAAAACATCGTCCATCTACCATACAGTATGACTTACTATATATATAAAACCTACCAGAATGTAAGCTCCTTAAGGGCAAGAATTATCTTGACCTCTACTGGCCAACCTCAGAACCAAGTAGAGTGTCTGGGATGTGGCCAGATGCTCAATATGTGCTTTTTGAGTCACTGACTAAATGAACAGATATCATAAAGCCCCATATCCACAGAAAAATATCCAAAGGAAATTAATCACAACCTTAACAGTGATTATAACTCTACTAGTGGGATTATGGGTGACAGACATATGACAGCCTGCCATTCTCCACCAGCCTGGACATGGTGAAATCCCACTCATGCTTCATGGCTCAGCAGTACCATTACCACCAAATCAGGACTGGTCAGTGCCTGCTCTCCACCCCACCCTCCCCCCACCCCTCAGCACTGAGCCCCTCGTCCTACACCTGGCACAGCCCCACTGTAGTTAAGGTGCTGGACATGTGCCCTCCTCCCTTCCGGCCACGTGGGAGCTCCTGGAGGTCCAGCCAGCAGTGAAAGATCTTTGTCGACCCAGCATCTGTTGCAGTGCCAGGCAGTTTGTTAAATTCAAATGACCCAATCATTTCAGTTCCAAAAGACTGGGGCAAAAAATGGGTTGCAAATCTAACACCTGTTACTGACCCTTAACAGCTAACTACTAAATGTGGAACCAGATCTTCCACTTTGAGAATCGACTATTGAGCGGAGTTTCAGATGATCAGCACAAGCAACAACACAGAACCTATGTCACATGGAACAATGGGTCAGTACATAAAAGATGACTGTTTAACTAGCAGGCAGATGCGGCTGAAGTGAAACACTCAAACTCCCACACCGGAACCTGACACAGTCAACACAAAATGCGTGCCCACCTCCCCCTCCAGGGTACTGCGTGACAGCGGCTTCGCAAGTGAGCCAGCACCTCACACATTCAGAGACTCAAGAACAGAGAGTCAGAAGAACTAATGCCACGAGCTGGTTTTACAGGTGAGAAAATGGGGGCTCAGAGGAGCAGTTACTAGCCCCAGGCCCTGGGGAGGCCAGAGCGAGAGCAGTGCAGGACTGGGGTGGGCCTCTGCCTCAGGCCACCTCTCCCAGGTGATGCCCCCAGACTGCGTCACCGCAGTGGCACACAGTCAAAACGCTTCGTGTTCTTCTTTACGTGTGATAATGGTGTTATGGTGTTTTTTTTTTCCAAAATACAGACATTATCTTTTAGACATGTACGTTATAATATTTATGAATAAAATAATTTAATGTTCTTTCAAAATTCCAGCAGCAGGCAGGGGTAGAGAGGAAACTAGACTGGCCATGAGCTGCTAACTGGTAAAGCTGGTGGCAGTACGTGGGGGCTCATTATAGTTCTCTCTCTAATTTGAAGTATGTTTGAAATTTTTCATAAGGCAAAAATCTGTCTTAAGTACTTTTCAAAATACCAAGCGGCAGCAATGCTGGCTTCCTCAGGAGAGTCTTTGTCAGCATCCAGGTATTCTCCCCTCCAAAACACAAAGGAGGAATGAAGATCAAGAATGAGAGAGAGGGTGAGAGAAAGAGAGAGAAAATGGGAGGAAAAAAGGAAGGAAGGGGAAAAGCACCCTCCCCCCAGTCTCCGAGACCCTGCCCCCAGAGCCATGGTGGGGCAAAAGGAGCGCGCGGCCCTATGGGGGGCGCTTACTGATCAAACAAGCTATCAAGTCAGCAGAGAAAACAAGCCGTGTCAGTGTTAGATCATTAAATCAGCATTCTGGCAAAAAACGGTATTTCCAACCATTCTGATGACAGCTGGATCAAACCCGCCAATACTTGACAGTAATAAATATAGTTATTTGGGAAGAAAAATAGGGAGTGACCTTACAGTTCCACTGAAATATGCCAAATAAGGAAAGCTTGAAGCTGTAGGAAATGGAAAAGAACGGCTAATATTTGGCAAGCTTCCTTTATGATCAACAAATTAAAATGTTAAGGAAGCAATTTGTTGAGAAAAGATATTTTTAAAAGGAGCTGAATCATGTAGGTTCAGCCCAGGATATGGTCAATTGGTAATTTTAAATCATTTATTTAAAGTTAATGTTTTCAGCCCCCAGAAACTGCATTTCAGACATCCCTGAGTTAATCATAAACCCTCCTCTCTCCCAGCTCAGGTGGCGGGAAGAGCGCCTGGACTTAAGTTCCACTGCAGCTCTGCCCTTAACCCCTGGTTCGACAACTACAAACTCAGCTGCCACCGGAGTCTCTTCCATAACAAAAAGATGAACAAAAATACATACTCGAGTCTAGTTTTTTTTCAATTTTTCAAGACCATTCTATTATTCTTAATTTTTTAAAAGATTTTATTTATTTTACTTTTAGGGAGAGGGGCACGGAGGGGGAAAGAGAGAGAAACAGCAATGTGCAAGAGATACATCAATCGGTTGCCTCTAGCACGCCCCCAACTAGGGACCAGGACCACAACCCACGCATGTGCCCTGACTGGGAATCGAACCAGTGATCTTCGGTGTACAGGCTGGCACTCAATCCACTGAGCCACACCAGCCAGGGCTTGAGTCTAGCTTTATTTCCAAAGACAATGGGATGCCAATCCATTTTCAATCATTAGCCATCTGATCTACTTGAATCTACAAGGCTTAATGCTACTGGATTTCTTCAACAACAAGAAAAGTCTGAGTGGCCCTGACTGGCATTGTCCTGCAGGATGAAGGGCTGTTGGTTCGGTTCCTGGTCAGGGCACCAGGGCATGTGTCTGGGTGGCAGCTCTGACCCCCCATTGGGGGCGTACGAGGGGCAGTGGACCAGTGTCTCTCTCACACATTGATGTTTCTCTTCCTCTCTTTCTCCCTCTCTCTCTAAAAATATATAAAGTAACTTTAAAAAAGTTATTAGTGCACTGATTTTTACAGTCCATGAATATGCATAGAGACTGTCTTCTGATTAAAAAGCCATTCCCATTCTAAGGGCCTACGTGTACTTTCATTAAGGCACTGCAGTCCACATGGAGTGGCAGCAGCTTTATAAACAGAGGCTCAGGTGGTAAGTCACTGAAAACAAAAAAGCCTGGGAGAGGGCCAGAGGGGCCAGGAGGCGCTGCTATTTTATACGGTGTGGGAGGGGGCCTCTGAGCTGACGCCTGAAGGAAGTAGAACCAACCAAGGCAAACCAAAGTCAGCCACTGCAATGGAACCCCCACCACCATCCCCCAACACAGAAACTGAAACACTTGTGGCAACAATTTTGTCTACTTGCTTGGTTACAAGCTGCTTTAGCTTTGTCATAACCTTGAGGAATCTAGATACCTTTCTTTTTTCAATGTATACCAAGCTCCCTGGTAATGAGCCCTACTCCTCAGTAACAACTGAAATGCAGGGTCTGGTTTTCAAAATACTCTTTGTTCTGGCATTAGCTCGGTACTAAGCAGAGCGCCTGGGCTGTGCTCTCGGCATTCAGTTGTCACATCAGGCTGGGGGCCCTGACGCATGATGTGATCTGTACTAGACCAAGCTATCCGGAATGGCCTTGAGTGACTGTCCAGGCAGCGCCCAGGGAATGGATGGGTCTAAGACAGCTCCTGCAGGAACTTCGAGCACCAGGTGCCCACGTGCCCACCTGCCCACCTGCCCACAGGGGACCAGGCTGACTGGAGAAAACGTGGGAACAAATTCAGCTGCACCACTGTCCGTAAGATTCATTACGTATCACCCAAAATTAAATTGCCCAGGGTTAGTTCTATCAGCTAGCCAAAGGTCTGTCACGTCCACAGCCAGAATGGAGACCAGAACCCCTCATCTGTTGGTGAAGTTCAGCACATCTTCTAAGGACTTGGTGGGATTTGCTTCACATCCAGTTTTAGTTGGCTTTCACACAGCTAGCTGAAAAAACTAGTCTCTCTGCAAAGTCCGTTGCAGGGCTGCTGCGTGCAGAACATCCAAACCACTGTGATCAGCATGGAGCAGGCAGGCCCGCAAACTGAGAGCACTGGACTGGCCACACATCCACCCAATGGGAGCAAAGATTTCCACAGAGCAGCCAGGGCCTCCAAGCCAGCTCCTGCGACCTCACTGATAGGGCAATTTGCTCTCTGCCTCGGCATGTTAAGTAAACCTGATGAAGATGATCTCCGAAAATCACTAGGAAGAACAGCTATGTAAAAAATATAAAACCTCCCTGCAATTATGCAGAGCCACAGGAAGGCTAAGTCATTCTGAGCTAAGTCAAGGTAAGGGGCCACACACAGCTTTGTTAGGGCAGGAGTGGGGGCCAGACAACCTCTGTCCACCCCTTCCTGCTCATTTACAGGGAGACAGTCCTCAGAGTTTAAAGGAACCTAACATATTAATCCTCAACTGGTTGAATCCCATCCTTTCGCTTCACCTGAGTCCAACTCACTACTAAGCTTTAATTCAAAACAGCTGATTGCAGAGGCGCTCATCCTCATTTTTCATTCTAGTCCACATCATTCCAAAAGCCGACTATTAAGTAAGAGCAGTGAAAGGCCTTTTTGTGTTGAAAATATCTTTTATGTATTGAAAATGGATGAAAGCCATGCATTTTGACTCCTAAAAAAAAGCATTTCTTTTTATTTCTACAGATATTTCAAAAATATGACATTTATTGAATGCTCTGCCTATTATATGCAAGGCACTGTGGGAGGTGCTGGAGTTTCAGAGTCCAGCACAGTCCCCGTGCTGATAAGCTGACCGCCTAGAAGAGGGACAAAACCAGGACCCAGATGACTGAAACACTAGGTGCAGCGAGGGCAGAAATATAGGGCAGGCCCAACGTGCCCCGGGGGGTTCAAAGAAGGACAGATTCCATCGCTGGAGGGGATCCGAAAGGCTTCCTTCAAACAGAAACAGGAACTTGAGCTGGGCAAGACTTCAGAGGCTGAAGGAGAAGCATGAAGAGGGCGCTCGGGGAGAAGGCACAGATAGCGTGACTGAGGGGGCGGGCTCCAACACCCAGGGGCCTGGTCCAGCTGGCAGGCATGTGTGGGAGTCCCAGGAGGCAGCAGCAAGCAGCAGAGCAAGGGGACATGGACAGGTCAAGGAGGATGAGGCCCAAAGAGGGATCCCAGAATTAATTTGGCTTCAAGAAAGCAGTCTCGGCCAATGATGACGAGGGAACCAGAGAGAAGAGGAAACCTTGCAGATGCCCTGTGGGGGTCAGGAGGCGGCTTTTCCTCAAATGCACAAGCAGCAGTGGCACAGCAGTGACTGGCTGCCCCAGCGTCATCAGAATTGGAGAAACAGTTGAACTTCGTCTGATGGGGGCAGCTTTTGAAGTCCCTAACCACAAGGAGGAAGCACTTCTTCAGGCCTGCAGGAAACAGATTGCGTCGCTGTGTCTGTCCGGCTGGGAGAGGCACAGCCCTCTGGGGTTCCGTCCAGAGGGAACAAACCCGTCTGCTCGTGCCGTCTCTCCGTGAAGCCCGCTTCATTTTCCACATCCACCAGACTTGGTGACGGCCCCATTTTTAGAGCCTTCAATTACAGAATGGAAAACACCAGCTCAGAGAAACAATTAAGGTCAGGGAGGAGAGTGGGTGAAGATACAATACTAACGCAGTAAACACTGCAACTGTGCAACGACATTCCGGTCAGCACACATCAGTGAGGACTGAAGCAGGCCTTACCTGCACACTTCCAGCTGACCCGAGCTGTTCCTTACCACAGGGCGACAACACAGAAAAAGTGCCAGACTGAGTGCTATGACTTAGGTGATAAAACACCTGCAAAACCCTGATGACTCTCTTACTGTGCCACCCGTAAATTCAAGTAAAACCCTCAGCCTTGTCTGCCATTTCTCGATGAGGAAGAGCTGGGCACTGTGCAGAAGAGAGACCACGGGCACACCGGGCATGGTCCCTCAGCCCAGAGTGGCCCCTGGCAGGCAAGAGCACCAGGCCGAACTAACGGGATCCAGCAGCCCCACAGAGGACACAACGGCCTGCGGAGGCTGTGGGGTTTCGGAGCAGGAGGGGCTCCTCCCCTGGGGCTGAGCAGGCAGAAAGGGTTTTTCAGGGAGGCAGGGCCTGAGGTGGGGTCTCCAAGTGATGGGTCCACCCCCTGCACAAGGGGAGAAAAGTGATTTCTGAGGCAGGAAATTAGACCTCAAAATATTGGGGAAGATAACAAGCAGAAGGGGTAGAGACAAAATAACCATCACAGCAAATCACTGCAACCCAAGTCAAGTCCGTTTTTAGTCCTTTTGAGAGTCGGCGTGTAAAAACGAAAACGGGTGGGAGAACCACTACTCAGAATGAGGTGCCACATAAAGGTGAGATGGGGGTGTCATTTCCTTGTCCAATAAAGATGTTACACTTAATAATAGCTCCCATTTACAGAGCAGCTACCCACAGGCACCTCACATCTATTCCCGCACTGTGTTTTTGTAACAAGCCAGTTAGGAAGGTGCTACCTCTCGCAGACAGGAGAGTGGAGACACCCAACACACTCAGTGACAGAAACAGCATTTGAACTCAGGTCTCAAGAGTCATGCTGTGCTGCTTCCCATCACAACCAAGGGTCCTCCACCACGGAGACTGGTGTTTTCGGTGTTTCGTGAAGTCGGTCTTGAAGATGAGCCCCAGTATATGTTAATCATGTCTCACTCACTGGCAGCCTTGTTGGAAGGAGCTCCCCCAAAAAGGTTTCTTTGAAAGACAAAACTAATGTGTTATCTATAAAACCGGTGTTGTCATATATAGCCTTACCCCATACATAAACTTAGGCATTCTGAAAACATGTGACTTCCGGGTTAACATGGCAGATTGACGCCTGAATTATCTCCACTCCCTCCAGAACAGCAAGGTCTAAATTCATAGGACAAAGAGGAAAAGAAAGGGGGAGAGCAAAGGAACAGCCCTCTAACTCTCAGAAGCTGGAAAGCTGTTGCACCCCCCGCAGCAGCCTTCACAGACCAGAGCAAGCTCACAGCCCAGCCTCAAGATGGGAGGCCCACAGGCAGCAAGCTAGCTCCTGCCACAGACTTTAGAAAGGTTCAGACAGGGGGAGCAGCAGGAATTTCAGAAGGTAGGGAGTGCAAGGTGAGCAAAATGCCAGTAACCTCCCATCGTACCCCTCCCCCACGTCAGCAGCCTAGAGACCCCTCCCCCACGGTAGGCAGAACATGGGGTTTCTCTAAGTTATGTGGGTCACTCAGGGGGACTGAGTGGCTATGCCCAGCCCGGCTCCTAGAAAACAGGTGGTCAGACATGTAGCCCCCAAGCACTCCTCCCAGTGAGGAAACAGGGCTTCTCACTGGAGAAACTGTCAGACGGAGATAAAAGAGCCACAGACACTGACACTTGGGGACTTCCCTCAACAAAGCACCTGGGCTGATCACTTACAGTGAAGGTCACCAAGAGACTGCCCCCAAACCACCCCCAATACAGAAACACACACACACAAATGAACACACCCCTTGCAGGTAAACATGCTAATGCCTTGTTCTTAGGCACAAACAATGAAATGTCACCATTTAAGAGAAACCTGTAAATGGGACTAAAACAAGAAGAGAAAAAAACAAATCAACAGGAGAAAAGATAAATAAAATTGGTCTAGTCACACAATTAGGCACCAATACCAGAGAAAACAGACATCAGGTTTCCTACCACATCACAGGTGAATCTCTGAACATAACTTGAGCCAAGATAGCAAGTTCTGGACTCTACACGCAGAATGGCAATACCATTTTTATAGAGATCAAAACCAAGCAGGAGTGAATAATATAGTATTTAAGCATATACAGGGTAGAGCAAAAGTAGGTTTACAATTGTGAGTATATAAAAGTGTTATTCTTATTATTTATTAATTATTGTATTATTTCCCATAGGAACAACTATAAACCTACTTTTACCCCACCCTATATACAACTGTGATAAAAAAAATAATAATAACACGCCCTGGCTGGTGTAGCTCAGTGGATTGAGCACAGACCTGCAAACTAAAAGGTTGCAGGTTCGATTCCCAGTCAGGGCAAATGCCTGGGTTACAGGCCAGGTCCCCAGTTGGGGGTGTGTGAGAGGCAACCAATCGATGTTTTTCCCTATCTTTCTCCCTCCCTGCCCCTCTCTCTAAAAGTAAATAAATCTTTTAAAAAACAATAATAATAATACTTCTTCATAAAGATTTTAAAAAGTAAAAACAAAGAAGTCAATGCAAGAAACAGAAGAAAACTTAAAAAAACTGGCAAATGTAGGCAGGAATAAAGAAGACACTGGATCTATGAAATAAGGACATAAGAGGTCATAAGAACGGGACATTCAGAGGACAAGAAAGGAAACTCTTAAGTTAAAAATACAACATAAAATATCAGAAAGATTAGAAGAAAGCACATCAAAAAAGGCAGACATGAAAAGTGAAAGGCAGCAAAAATCAGCACATGTGTCCACGAGGCCTGACACCTGACTAACGAGTTCTGGGGGCAGAAAACAGAGGCTGGAAAAATAGACACACACCGAGGCGCACTTTCGTACCTGAGAAGGGGAGTAAGGCAACGGCTCTAGAAGGCACTGGAGAGAAACAGCACAATATCAGGAAGCCAGAAAAACCTCAACCAGGTGAGCGAGCCCTGGGCGCTGTGTCTTTCCAAGGGCACTGCTCTCCAGTCGAACTTTAAGCTGGGCAATGACCACAGGAGGCCAGAATGAAGATCCGTAGGTATGAACAGCCCTTACCAGGAAGCTACCAGAGAAGATCCCCACAAGTGAGAGACTCAGCAAGGAAGAAGAAACCACAGAATTCAGGAGACAGGAGGTCCCAAAGCAGGAAAGAAGGAAAGGAAGCCCCAACTGATGAGGAAGCGGTTGGCAGCAGCCGGTCCTGGGAAGAACAAAAAATGAGGGGCTAGGAGGGATGTTGCCAACAACGAAAAACCCACCTATTTGACAGGTTCCCAAGTTTTAAAAAGACATGTATTGCTGGAAGAGAATTTAGGGATACATGAGGTATTGTGCACAGAAAACTAGCATGTACACAGGCACAGCCATCCAAATGCTAAAGACCTAAAATGGGTTGAGCCCAGAAGAGAAATATGAGTACTCTGAGAAAAAGGAGAGGAGGAGGCCTTTCGCCCCATACAAGCCCCGCAGTGCCACTTCTGTGAGGCCCAGCGCCAGGAGATGCACAATCCTGCACCTGGACAAGCAGAGGCCGCTCGGGGTGCAGGAGCTGAGCCGGGGGTGAGGCAGGGGCTGGTTCCTTAACACTGAGCCTTACATAATTTTGATAAAAAATGAAAATAAAGTCTTCTGAAAGAAAGAAAACATGCCAAAACAGTAACTACCTTCAGACCATTTTTATTTTAAACTAAAATATATTTAAGATGTACAACTTCCCTTTTTTAGTTTCTTAAACAATTCCACACTGTGACAACCTTAAGGGACCACACAGAAAAGTGTTTATCCTACCTTATAACTGTTTTACTCACAAGCCTGACCTCAGACCTCCCCAGAGGCTGCCTGCAGTTGCTGGGATTAACAGCAGCAACCCAGGAGGCCCAGCAAACCTGGGCTCATCGGGCACCCAGAATCACCAGCACTGCAAGGAACCATCAGGGCGTTACCAGACATTTTCTTTTTTCCTTGTTATCCGAGATAGTTTATCAATGAACTTTCTGACTTTGCCTCTGAAACTCTCACTGAAGCATATTCTATACAACTATTTCACCATGTTCTCCAAATCTCATATTTCTCTCCGGTATATATCTACAAACCAGGTCAAGGTGTGTTTTATAAGGAATTTCCTACATTTGCAATTCAAGCAATAGTTCCACTGCATTCAAAATTATATGATATGTGAGGGGGGTGCTAATATTAGCCACTCTGCCCTTCTCCCATACCCCCAATTCCACTCTACTTCAGAAAAAGACAGGACTGACAACATAAGAACTCAAATCTGCTGCCAAGGAAGAAACACCTATTTTGGAAACAGTCTTCAAGATCCTGGCCAAGAAAACAAAGCTCAGACATGTAAATCACACAGCACCATTGCTACCTCCTGTTCATGGCTGTCAACAGTCACTAGAGAGAGCAAACCCAAGCTCTCCAAACAGGCAGAAAAATGGCTTGCAAGTGTTCTGTTGGTCTACACACATTTTGTCTTCTATTTGCTGTGAATTAAAAAAGCTACTGGAAATAATTCATATCCTTCAAGTTGAGCACTTTCCACCAGCAAAGGCTCACTCTGCACGAAAGTGGTAAATTCAGAACTAAATCTGGCCCCCACGGAGGCCCAGCAAGCTGAGAAAATCGGAGGAGAAAATTCAATGACTAGTTCCAATCAACATTAAGAATCAAGTTGCTTCATCTGAAGAAGCCTTCTGCCATCTGGATCTGGAAGGACTTCCACTTTGAAATTCCTCCTCTCTATCGGAAGTTTGTCACCAAATATTAAAAGCTGAAGGTGCCAAGTGCTGCATGACTCACATTTTTCATTTACCCACTGAACATTTGATGTGGAAGCTACACCCAAAAGCAGGCTTTTGCCTTAACGTGTAAGCAGTTATTTTTAATCATATATGGGGGAGAGCATACAAGAAATAAAAATAGTAAACAACTCATCAATATATACCCAGCGACCCAGGGCTCAATACTGACACTGCGACAGCTCAGTCTGGGCTACTGCTGCTATTTCCTTTCACTATGAGGCGGGCTCTGCTGGTCAGCTGCCAACACAGTGCTTTCCTTGACTTTCTCATTTTGAGGCTAAAAAACTTTGGGACAGTATAACAGGCACTGTCCTAAGCTGAGTCGTAGTAAAGCCCATATAAAGCAAGTTTCTTTACTGTCACCATTACAGAGGAAGCAGGTTAAACATCCAAAGTCACACAGCCAATAAATGGAAGAGCCAAGGTTCCAAGTCAGAAGGGTCCTCTGCAGCCCCGGCCAGAGTGCCCTCAGCCAGTCAGCCGGCGGGCAGCTGGCAGGTTCAGGGAACATCCAAAGGCCCTCCATCTAGAAAACCCCACACTCTCACACACCGAGAGCTGATGTTTCCAGGTGGTAATATATGGGTCCCACACAAATAATGCCCCCTTTTTATTATAAAATCTTCTACTATAAAGTCATAAGCATGTAATTCTATAACAACCATATCACACTCAAGCACACCATATGACATTTTAGGTGAAATGTTCAAATTAAAACTATAAATTATTATATCATATTATTACCCTGCCAACCGCACTCAAGCAGGCGTTACTTCTGCCGGGCCCTGTGTTATGGATCCGGCACA